GAAGTAGAGGCATACATTTACGAGAGTGATCTCAGGATACTGTTCTGGTTCTATATACTGTGATACTGTTGCTGAACTTTGGTAGCATTGTATGTTTGTTTTCAAAATGTCTTTTCAAATTAGATTGTTGATGAAATTTTCTGTCACAGAAAGAACATTGGAATCGTGCATCTTTTCCACATTCATAGACCATATGTCTGCGCATATTTCCACGATGTTTGTATATTTTCCCGCAGTTGTGGCAGGGAAAACCAGTAGCAGAGTCTGGATCGATATGCTGTAGGATCCAATTTCCGCCTGTAAAATAATTCTGCTGTATTTAGCGATTTCAATGTCTATTCCATGTTTACTGGTGATTTTGGAGCAACAATCATTCACTTGTGATTTAGCTTCAAACTGTGAAAAAAGTGATCAAGAAAGAATTTATCATTTTTATAAGAATCAAAAATCTTTAACTAGCATATGATCACTTTATTCACCTAGTGGAACCTGAATGAAAGTTTAAAGCATTAATCTGCTATTCTGCTTTTTTTGTGCATGTCGACTTTTTGTCACATATACATTAAATACATTTATAAGCAAATCAATTAACCATTAAAAAAGCAGCATAACAAGTGGTAAGGCAGAAAGGTCAACATAAATAAAAATCGGAAAGTTTAACAAAACCAATATATTAACGACTTTGTTATAAAAAAACTTAAGTCTTCTTTGGCCACGGGAATGGAACAGGTTAGTCTGTAACAACGGAGAAAAACGTTTCGTTAAAAAATTGTATAATTTTCGGCATATCCTAAATTTCTTCAGATCAGTCTAAGATTAAAAAGTTATTTATTTATTTGTCATGTTCTTGGGTTTTATAGACTTATCTGGAATTATTTCTTCTCGATGTTTCACTTGCAACTTCTGTTAGACATCAAAAGTACTGTGGTAACAGTCTTTACTAAATGAGTAGAAGACAGTTATAGTCTATTCATGAATATAGGAATGTTTTATATGAAAACAATATACAAAGAACAGTCATATATTCATGGAATAGACTTTAGCAACAGTCTCTTACCTAAAGACAGTTATGACCTATGTAGTCTTTGATATCTTTCACAGTTGAAGGCAAAATGCAAGAAAGAAGTAGATCCACAATCACAAATAAAACTTAAAAAGAATTTACATCACAAAACACCAGCGGCAAAGGCCTACATTCCTTAAAATCATGTCAGGCGCACGTGTGAATAATTGTTAACATATTGTCGTGCGGTTTTATCGAAAAATTCTGTACATAATTTTGAATATTGCCAGTGATAAAGTGATTAAATACTTTTAAATTTAAGATGTGTGTGTGTTATGATCAGAAGAAATTGATACTTAGTGCCTTGGATATGCGTTTACCTTTTATGTTTTGCTGTTTAAAGACTAAATGTTCGCTGTGCAATGTAAAATGGAAAAAATGCCCTCTTTTGTCTGCATAAGACTATTAAAATTAAGTAGTTTTTAATAGCTTATGGACAAAACCGGCAGAAATAATATTGGCAAATTACACAGTAATAGGCTTCAAAGCCTTTGGAGATAGTTAGGAACAAAATCTTTAAATAGCTTTTTAATATAATAGGATTTTATACTTACATGAAAAGGTTCCTGTCGCCAATCCTTGGAATAGTTGATGAAAGAAAAAGAATAAAAATGAGGGTGAAAATGAAGATGATACATGAAATGAACCAGACGAGATGTGATAGGATTTTGGATTTGGAAATATGACTATGGATATTAAGAAATAATAATAGCAAGGTGATAGCAAAATGCACCTTAAAAAAGTAACTTCCTGAGGGGAAGTTACTTAACCCACCTCCACCCAGTCCGAATATTTCTTGACGAGAAATATTCGGCCTACTTACTAAAATATACTGTGGGATCAATAGAAATCATGATCCCTGTATTTGACTTAAATCTTGATTTGGTTCTATAGTTTGAACCAGACCATGATTTATGTTATGTCCAAAATTTTTCTGATGTACTCTTAAAATATCTCTACGAGAAAATTTCTTTAAGCAAATGGAACAAGTAAATTGTTTAGCGACTCCACATTCATATCGTAGATGTCTTTCTAATGTATATGATACTGAATAACTTCGCCAACAACGTGAACACTTGTATGGTAATGGGTCTGTAAAGAAAAATTAACATTCATACTAAGAACCAAAAACAGAAGGCTGTTTTTCCATCCCGATTTTTTGCAGACTCGCTGTCAAACACATTAAGAAAGTATAATATGCTCAGCAGGATATACATACACAAAACCAAGATAGTTAAACATCTACTGTTGGCCCTCTACTCAAAAAGCACATCCATACCAGCAGGCCCAATTATTTAGAAGCTTCACATTGATGGGAAGTTAACAGACATAATTCCGGTGTATATAATATACACATTGATCACATATATAAATTTATAAATTACTTATATGCACTTTAATAAAATTTAATTTGTAGTGAAGAAACTGTTAAAATGTCCAAGGTGTCGCCATTAGTAAAGAAATGTGTGTTCACACTTCTTTACTGAGCTTTATCAGGAAGACATAAAAACATTTTCTTCACTATAAAGCAAATATTGATAAGGCGTTTTATTTCTTCTTCTAGTTTGTAGAAAACTTGATACACAAAAATATTGCAGACCTAGTTTGTAGAAAATTTACATGCAAAAAATATTGCACATAACTTGATACATGCTTAGTACTGTATGCAAAAATATGCATCAGCACAGTTAAATGGAAACAGTATTATAACCATTATCACACATTGCTGCCTGAAATTAAGCTGTTAAAAATATTACCTCACTGTGTATTGTTATCAATCCACAGCTACACTGATTAAAAAATTTAAAAAACATGTTCACTTGTATCCACGAATTGGCAGCTGTAGTTGCAAATTAGTAAGCAACTGGCTCATGAAGAAGGAAGAAATTTTAAAGCGATGTATGCTTTAAACATTGGGAGTAAACAAAGCTGTAAATTAAAAGGATTAGTTATAAAACAGAATTAACTAAGCCAACATTCCCTGCAAATAAAAGTAATTTTGCAACTAATGCTTTCTTGGTCAATGTCTGTTAAAATGTTTTTATGGTTTTTACCTCACTGTACTTCTATTATATAGAAGTACAGCTACAAAAAAAAACTGAAAAATAAAAGATTAATTAATGAACACAATATTTAAAAAAAAATCCAAAAATTAAACATGTATGCAAATTTTTGCAAGCATGCCAGAAACATCGTTACGTTGCATCTTGTTAAATGCAACTTGTTAAATGCAACTTGTTAAATGAATCTTGTTAAATGCACCTTGTTAAATGCACCTTGTTAAATGCATTTTGTTAAATGCATTTTGTTAAATACATTTTGTTAAATGCATTTTATTAAATACATTTTGTTAAATGCATTTTGTTAAATGCATTTTATTAAATGCATTTTATTAAATGCATTATCTTGCAATCCATATGCACTGAGATGATAACAAATTTCACAAACGTGAAATTTATTTTTTGCTGTCATCTTATTGAGGAATATATTACATAAAATTATATGTAATATAAATAGAAAAATGTGCTTCGTTACATGAAATCATGTAACTATAAATGTAATTTATACAACAATTGTTGCAAAATTGAACTGCATTGCATAAACTTCTAAATCTGTTAAATTTAACACATTTAGACAAAAATTGATTAAAAGTGCAGTAAGACTAAAACTAGCCCTACTGCAAAGTACAAAATAAAAAAAAATGTACAAATATACAATAAAAGCATGCATTATACAATGTTAGACCAAAGTAAAGAATACAAATGAGATAGAAGGCCAACATTATAATTACAAGACAAGTACAAACCATACTCCACAATTAAAACGTAATTAAGGAAAGCCAAAGCAGGCGTCAAATAGTAGAATATGGTTTGTGCAGGCCCAAACAAAGTTACAATACCCAACAAAAACAAGCACTGGCTCGTTGTATGGCAAAATATATTTGGAGGAAACAAAAAATAATTTAAGAAAAAAAAACGTAACAAGTGGGAGAATAAATTAAAACACCGAGACCTCAGTCTCTGTTAAGAAACCAAAGTGCTTTCCAACAAATCATTAAATTAACTATGTTTAATAAAAATCAACTGATCAAGAATGTCATGTATTAAAGTCAAATTAATCTATGTAAGTAATAGAAAAAAATGAGTCTAATACTGACAAATCTTAGGTGTTTAAAAAACAGGTAAATGAATAGGAATCTGGAAACAGTTTGGTTTCTACTCCATTCTCCCCCTTCTTACCTTTTGGATGTCTTCATTAGGTCCCAAAAACCGAAATGTTTGATTAAATAAACAAAGCGCTTTGCAGTATAAACGCCAGATTTAACTTAAAACTTTATAATTTACACCTACATTTAACAACTGATAACTGTTTAAAAAAAAGCGTTTTACGGTATAAACGCCTTACAAAAGTAAATTTTAGAAGAAAACTAAAGAAAACTAAACAATAAAAATTAATTTATAGTAGGGTAATCCTCTATGCAACTTTTCAATAAATTTAAATTTAAAATTCAAAATACTAGTGGTTTTGGGTTGACCTGTAGGGCTGGCTGGTACCTCCAAAATGAAAAATTGATGAAGGAGTGCTGTCAATCTTGAGGGAGGGAGAAAGGTGATGGGTAAAACCAAAAATAACTACCACTACATCTAGTAAAATAAAAAGCTAAGTGTTAAGCAACAGGAGAAACCAAGGACTACCAGTTAGGTAAAATAAAAATAAAATGTTAAACCAGAGACTGGAAGTCAGGGTGTTAAATTTTGCCATACCACTTGCAAGTGAATGAAGCTTGTCTACTGTAAAGAACTTAGCAACTACCATTGTAGTTTTTAGGTACTATCAGGTCCTAAATGACCAAAGGAGTGGTTTGAAGTATACACTCCCTAACAAGTCAGTTGCAGAACAGTAGACAAGCCTTTACAATTGAAAACAAAAATCTTACCTTGTGAGTCTCGATGTGCACCTACGGCCTCTTGGGCGGCCAGAAATACTTCATCTTGACTTTGGTTACCCATATGCCAACCTCCAAAACCTGGAAGGAAAAATTAAATTAAATAATAAATATTTCACAACTTTATTTTCCACAAAATTGATGATCCGGATGTCTAATTGCCTAAATGTCTAAAATTTGATTTCTTCACAATTATGGGATAATTCTGTCTAAAATAAAAAGCAATTCCATGCAATCGTGAATTGCAGAATATCATCAGTCCAGTCGTCGTCAGAGATTTGATCTCTAAATGTAAGACGAACAAGCCGAATTTTGCTGATGTCAATTTTGGGACCCTAAAAGATTCACTCCTACCGATTGGCTTCTCTTTAAAACCGCTCTTCTAGAGAGCGGAAAACATCGACAAGACTCTGTCGTAGAAAAAAATTATTTAAACAAGAAATGTATGAGATAATAATTTTAAACAAAAATGTGTATTAGCACTTTTTCCCGTAGAATGAACCTCTCAGTTTTGAGAGGTTCTCACCTCTCTCAGGATGAAGTGTTTACATAAAATTTATAGCAACTCGCTGGTAAAAATTCGATATTTTGATTGGAGTTATCGGCAAAAATCAAAATGAGTTTTAAACGCGACGAGTGCGCCGCTCTCTCTTGCAATTTTTGCATTTTGCGCAAATAAGTTATGTTAAATATAAATCTGTTAAACGTGCCATTTTTGTCGTTGTTTATGATTATCACAGGTACAATAAAATTTATCACTGATTGGCCGCTCGCTGTAGAATTTGCATTGTTAGAACCTAACTTTCAGTATTGTTCTGAAGCTATTTTCTTGTGGCATTTTAAATTAATTACTATTTATCTGGGAATACGCCACAATTAAAGGTTAAAGTACGTTTATTGCCGTTTCAATTTCCACTTCGGAAATCGTTCTCAAAATACAAACCAATAAAATACAATGTATTTTGAGAGCGATTTCCGAAGTGGAAATTGAAACGCCAATAAACGTACTAACCTTTAATTGTGGTTTATTCCCAGATAAATAGTAATTAATCTAACTTTCAGTATGAACATGAAATTTGGATTTTTTGAGTTTTGGCAAAATATACATTTGAAATACGCAAACAGCGCTGAATTTAAACTTCCGTATTAAAAACGATCTCATGGAAAATGCTTCCTTCCACGAAGACACTAAGAGAAGCAGACGTTTATAGATTGTAATGTGAAAGATAAGTTAGCGTTTTTTAGGCATATTTCAAATACTCAAAAAATTCGTTGCAAAAACTCAAAATCACAATTTCATGTTTAGGTCTTGTAGGTTTAACCTTAATGGAAATTCCAAGTGATCGGTCAATGGATAGATTTTATTGAGAGTTTAAAAGAAATGGCGTACATAGAGCAACGTAAAGTATCAGCTTTATAGAAACGTGAATTTATTTGCGGCAAAATGGAAAAAATTGCAATGAAAGCTGCATTCTCCACCTTTAAATGAATTTTGCATAAGACACTGGATCAAAAGATAACGAATTTACCGTGACTTGATACAAATTTTAATTAAACAATTGATTTCGCGCGTCTACCGACATTCAATTGTTTCTGAGAAGAGTCAATTCCAGATTCTGAAAGTGCTAATTCAGCATTTTTGTTAAATTCCCGTAACTAAATCTTTAGTTTGAAACATTTATGACCTACAGATTCTTGGTTAATCCATGTTTTCTGCTTATCACTACGTCCGCTCAGCAAAATTCAGCTTATTCCTACTATTATTAGAGGTTCAGCGCGGGATTTTCGTCTTATTGAACTACATGAAAATAAGAAAATTTTAGAATTGGCCCTCTTAAAAATATTGATATTGGGAGACATGGTCATTATCAATAGTTTGGTGAAAGGCAATAAAAAAACTCTTAGATGTGTAATTTATTTTTGCACATTCATTGGTTATAGATAAGAAAATTGAAACAGAAAATTAACTAGAGTACATTACAGGACAGATAGTGGGGTAAAAAGATATTGAATTTAATAGTAAAAAATATACTTCCAAGATTGAAAGATGCATTGAGACCAATCGAAAATATGAGAGATTCAGCATAAATTGTAACATAACTATTCTCTTGTTGGACATGGTAATATAGAGGATGTAACAAAAATTTATCATTTAATTAAACCACATATTTTCGGGTATAAAATAGTTTGAACACTTACATGTGTTTAAAATGTCTCATTATATATATTAGTACTCATTCATACAAAATACACTGCATCGTTCATAGAACCTCAAAAACAAATTGTGAAGATTGGAATTCTTAGATGACCAATAAATAAGCACCTTACATATTTGAACAGTCTTGATGGGCCCGTGATGGGAGTGTTTGTGATTGATCAGACAGCCTCTGATTTAGTAAAGTGATTAGTGTTTCTATTGTTTTCACAAACCAAGCAAAGATGTGTTTCAGATACATCCACTACTTTCGACTTATCAATTAGTAATATTCAGTTGAAAAAAGATGTTAGTGATCTACCTTGGCTAAGAAATACATGTGCTGGCAATAACGACATTAAAACAACAAATTACAGAATCAAAAGAAGTGGAAGTAAAAAACAAACAACCGTAGAAGTAAACCTGTAAAACTGTAATTTACATATAGTTTATTTATGTAGCCATCCGGACTACTACCACTGATTGGCTTTTTGAATGGTGAAAAAGCTCTTGATCGGAAAAGATTTGAGATAAAATTCTATCTTGCGTTGTTTGGACAAATGCCAAATTCAATAATTTTATTAGAGATTTGATCTACAAACCAGGGAAGCTCCCGTTCGTACATGTAAATTGAATTAATAACTCAAAATAAAATCACTTGAAATTTTAGAAACAGAAAAAAGAAAACTTCTTGCAATACACATTAATTTGTATAACAGTTTTAACTGTATAAATAATTTAACTTACTGATGAGTACTCTGTCAATTCAAATAAAAAAAATGGATCAGATATCAGGAAAAAATTCGAAACAGTCAAAATTTGTCCTGTAAAAGATGGTGAATTGCAGAATAACCGGACTTGGAGGAGTGCGTACTGAAATGGTTTGAGCAGTGTCTCAGCCAAAATATCACGGACCAGAGTCATCGGACTACTTTTGAGAACTTACAATAAAAAGCATATCCTCTAAATCTTTAGGAGTGGCTAATTTCAGTACAATTAATGGTTGGTTAAAGTTCAAAAGAAGACATGAACTTTGTTTTTAAAAAAGTTTGTGCAAGTGTTACACTGATAATATCTTCCAATGCTGACGAAACGGAACGGACTTTTTTAATGTGATGTTTAAATAAATGCCTATTAACTTTTAAAAATTATAAATGTCATGGTGGGAAGTATAGAAAGGAACGTTATTTTTTGTAAGATGTAAATCAATACCTTTGAAATATAAAGCAAATACAAAAGCATGGATGTCTTCCGCAACTTTCAGAAACTGGCTCATAAATATTGATAGAGAATGGTCAAAGAAAAATCGTGTTTCTTAATAATTGTATGGTCCATAATGAAATGTAAATGAAAGCCCCATTTCCACATATGAAAGCAGTTAAAATCCAATATCTGTCCGCCAATAACACATCACAATTGCAGCCTATGAATCAAGGTATCATTAAAAACATACCGAAAATAAGTTGACAGGAACATATTCGATAATATGGAAAAAATAATTCTACTACAGTTGTATTCTGTTTTGCAAACCATGATAATGGCCAAATAAAGATTAGAGAAATTTAACTAGGACTAGAATAAAAAAAAACTTGTGTATACTGTGGTTCTCCATCGTCGCGTCGGCGTAGTCAATGAAACCGAAGGTGTTTCTTCACCTCCTGTAGAATGGAGAAAGTGCTGTCTGAATCAAGAATATCCTGAAGTGATTATCCCGTGCAATAGTTATGACTGCTGACGAAATTATCGATTAGCAGCTGGAAAACAGCATTGAATACTTTAGGGAATTTTATAGAGCAAAAACCAGCAATTATTTATACCGTAGACCTATAGATAGGAAAGGACAAATAAAGTAAAAAAATCAATGACTTTAATGCAATATTGCCTTCAAAACTGCAGCCATTTTATTAAAAACCTTAAAGGTATACTTCAAAGAAAAGAAAATTAAAAAATTTAATTAGGACACCAGAGGGCTATGCTATATCTGCAGCTTAAAACACAGTGGACAAGCGTTGTACATATCTATGTAAGAGGTTTGTCTTTTTAGTTTTGTATTAATGACGCTTGGAAGACGCCACCAGACGTAACTAAAAAAAAAACCTTACGGCTCAAATGTAACCTTAATCTTTAGTTGAGTTTCATTGGGATAAAAGTATGGTTAATACAGCGAATTTTTAAAATTTCTGTCGAAAAATAGATCTTAGAGAGAATAAATAACATTTTTGAGTAATATTTTACAATTTTCAGAGAGGATTTATCCCAACATAAATGTCTCGCAGAAACGGTTTCTGTGTTTAGGGATGAAGCATCACACCAGTCAACTATTTTCCACTGGTATTGCGAATTTCAACGTTATCGCTTCAGTCTCGGTGACGACCCTAAACAGCAGTCACACAGCAATATTGATTCGATTCGTCATCTAATTTTTCATCTAATTTTAGAGTGACCACCACGTAACATATCGGGAGTTCGAGGCATCTTTAAGCATTTGAAAGACCTCGATCCAAAAGATGCTACATGAAGAACCGTTGGTTACAAAGTTAGATTGTAAGTTGGTTACAAAGGAAGCTCAAAAAAACGTTTATAGTATTGAAGAAAATCGTCGAAGCTTTTGTGTCAAAATCTGATGTCGCAAAGATTGGTTTTGAAGATTGAAGATGGTTGCTTCTGATTAGTACATAACCGTTTGTTTACCAGAAGTTATCGCGAAACAAAGCAACACACAACGGCGACTATCAGGAATATGTTCCAAAAGAAAATAAGAGTTTTGGAACTTAAAACATCTAAACCATCTACTGTAAAATAGCCTCGGCCAAGTCCCAACGACTTCTTAACGTTCCCAAAGATCAAGAATTCAATGCGTGGGCAGCGAAGTGGCAGAGGTCACGTA